AGTAAATTTGAAGCCCCCAGGTCAGACTCAGCTTTCGTGGCTCTTGTAGTCTCTGCAGTGTCAGCAGGAAGCACGAACCAAAGACTTAGAGCCTGGACTTGAGCAATGTGTATTTCTTCTAATGAAACCCAAAGCCAGGTGAAATTTTTGGGACAGAAGAAACAGGATATGGAGTCCCTTTGGGGGATGGGGGATGTTCATAACACTCAGAAACTTGGCCCACATTTCTGGTCTCCTCCCTTTCTACTCCACAAAGGGCTTGTAGCATTTTTAGACAAACTTGGATGCACCGTATGTTGTGAGAGAACCTGCTGGGAAATTTGGTGATTCCTGCACTCCAGGGCAGAGGAAACGTGTGTTTCTGCTTTGTGTTTTTAGGAAAGTAGGAAGATAAAATTCAAAATAAAACACAGCAGATGGGAATCTCATAGAGACAGACACTGGGAAATGTTTAGACAAGCTTTGTCCCCAGTCCTTGAGCTCACGATTTAGCAACTAAACCGTAGAGAGACTTCAGAAAGACAATGAAATGCATTTTGGCTTCAAATACAGTTCCCTCAGAATCCAATGAGAGTTGTGCACGTGAATTTGAAGGCAGAATATAGCCAGCAGTATGGGGAATAGATGTAATGTGAGAAACTCTCATGCTATATTATTATAGTCTGAATTGTTTCCATCATTTTGCGTTAAGTAATCCCCCACTATCCATCTCTAAAGTGCAAACAGTACAGCTTTGATGTGCCCCAGGGAAAGGAAGCAAACCAGCCTTTGAATCTTTACCCAACCTTACTGCTCATGCTTTGCTTTCAGTGAATAACCGTTCAAATCCTTTAATATTTCATTCCCATAAAAATATATTTACCAGGGGTTTTTGTGGCAGCAGTGAGGCTGTGTTTATTATTTTAGGAATACCACACAACTGGCTTTAGAGAAAAGACAAGGCAGGAGCAGAGTGCTGCAAATCTATCAGAGAACAGCATGTTTTCCACCTGTTGAGGCAGCAACCACACTAACAGATGCATGTAATAATTACCTGTACCTCAAAGGCAGCACCAAGTCCTGCACCTTCTGCTCCCTACCTAGCAGACAGCTTGATAACAGAATAACAAAAGAGGAGCATGGAGAGAGTAGAGTAGGTAGTGCTTTGTGAAGAATGGAAGAGCAGCTCTTAATAAAGAGACACTGGAAGGTGGAAGATGAGAAGAAAAGATCTGAGGCACCATGATGCTAAAAGTAGAGTGGAGCGAAGGAACTCCAGGAGCCTGCCTTATTTTTAGCATGGCAGTCAGGTTTTTGCTAATACTTTTCCCAAGGCTGCTCTCATTTGTACTCTTAACATCAGAGATAATTTCTCCTGATGAATAGGTGCCCCACACACCTACTGGAGCCCACTCCCTCCTAGAGATGGATGACTCTGCAATGGCAAGAGGGGCATGTACCCCTGTAAGGTTAGGGCCTCATTTCAGTAACTGACACCATAAGTGACCAGGACCCTGTTCCTCTTCCCTTCCCTGCCGCCTGCCCCCGGGAGCATGCTGGAGCTATGCTACCCTTTTGTTTGCAAGTGCCTCGGAGCAACCAGTGTAAGAAGGGCAGCTGGGGACAGTGAGGGGAGCAGCGATGCAGAGCAGGTGAAACACCTTTGGTCTTTCCTGCTAAAATGCTGAGGCTTGTAAGGCTTTTCTTCTCCCCTTCCTCTGCCTACCAAGGGGAGAGAGGTGACATTTGGCTGGATGAGGACTCCCGGAACTCAGACCATATGAGCTCTGAAGTGGTTTGTACCATGGTAGTTCCTTACTTGCAGAAAGGAACAGATCCTTCCTAGAAGGGATTTGCAGGGGAAGGGAATGATTTCATCCCCGATTTAATCTTGACAGAAGCAGATGATGAGAAGTCTGTGTGCTGAGTTGGAGTTTTCCTTTGAATTCCTACAGTGTTGAAGGCAGTGCTATAAATAGACACAGTATCCTTTTTACCCTGGTACAATTCTGTCTCCAGCTCCCATATAGACAGCAAGTCTGCTGGTAGGTATTTAGCAGGAATTAATTTAACCCAGTCTTCTCTTTCTGTACTCTTTTACTCCAAGCATCCCAATGTCTTCCACAGCCATACAAACACATTTCCTCAATAAAAATATTCTGAGGAAGGCTGCTGATATTAAAAATCCCATTTCTGTCTGAAAATTCTATCCTAGTTATAAATAATCCATAGAAGACCCAAACTATGAAGTTAGTATTAAAAACAAAAAAAAAAGGCCAAAAAATAAAAAAATCCTCCTCTCAGACTTCTTCATTTCCCCCCCCCCACACACACACACCCCAGTTTTGGTTTTGAACTGCACAGCATTTTATTCATAGTCTGTTTCACATTTTCTCCAGTGTAACTGGCTGGCCAGTTTCTCCCTCCCCAAAAACAACTTGTGAACATCAGCTGAGAAGAAGGAACCCCAGATAAAGTGTTTCATGGCTATTATCTTAAGCTAGATCTGTAAGGAATTTAAATACAAGCCAGATCGGTATTAAAAAAAACAAACCCTTTAAATTTAAGCATCTTTTTCAGTGAGAGATCCTCAGCCTGGGAATCCAGCTGGACAGCAAACTACAATTTCACAAATATTAGAGTTTCATTAGAGTTTCTGGGTACAACTGCAGAGACGATAATCTGGCCTAGCCCTGCAGTTGTGTCTCTGTTTGCGGAGCTGGCTGTGGTTAAATTCACGCTGCTCAGTGCATGTATTGAGTTCACTGGGGGTTGGTTTGTAAACAAGCTTAAAAGTACTTGCCTGGTAGTTGAAGCTCCCGCGCTGCGGCGTCTTGGATTACCTTTGTTTGAATAATACCACTTAGTTTTCTCCTAATGTACCAGTTGCACAACAGATTTCTGGCCCCTCTGTGTTCAGCTTATTCAAAGTCTATTTTTAATTGTGTTAATTATAAACCACAATCCCCTACCCTCTTTGGACCTGCGAGCATCAGCCAGAGCAAGGCAACTGGAGGGCAGCAGCAGCGGGAGGCTGAGTTTTGAAAGCGGCCGGCTGTCAGGTGGTGGAAGCAGATGTGACCTGGGCGGCCTTGCTGGGGCTGCGCTGGTTTGCCTCGGCCCCGCCAACGCTGGGGGCAAGATCCGGGTTTGCACCCCCGAGCATGAACGGTGGTGTGCATCCCCCCCCGGTTGGGGTTTACCCTTGATACCCAGGTTTTTGCCATGTGCGCTTCTCTGCGAGGCAGGGGCGGTTTACCCCAGATGCGAGCAATTGGGGGGTGACCGCGCTTACCCCCCCCCCCAGCCCGCCCATGTTAGTGGGCAGTTGAGGTTCATCCTTGCAGCAGGCGCCAGGGGTGAGGTCGGGTCTTATCCCATCCCTGTGCATCAGAGCAGGATCGATCGGGGTTACCCCCGCCACGTGTGCTGGGGGGGTGACGAGTTTTACCCTTGCACGCGTGCCAGTGGGGCTCCGGGGGTCTGTCATGGCGGGGCGAGCATGGGTGGGCTGTGCCCCAGTCCCCCCCCCGCCTCGGGCGGCGCAGGGCGCCTGGGGCATGCCAGGGCGGGTGTGCTCCCACCCACAGCGTCGTCACCCTTTCTCCCACCCCCGCACCGGCTGCCCCGTTTCCCTCGAGGTTTGACCCGAATTCGGAACCAAAGGGCCGATGCGGGGTAGAGGAGGCCCGGGGCCGGCACCCCCCTTCCCCCCCCCGCCGCCGGCCCTGCCCGCCGGGCCGCTCGCGCGCCGGACCGACGGCGCCACCTGGCGGCGCCTCCTGGCAGCGCGGGGGGCGGGAGGCGGGGGGGGGCAGCGCCCGGGCGGGGGCCGCGGGGGTGCGGCGCGGGTTTCGGGGGGCACACCGCAGCGCGGGAAGTTACATCCCGTCTGGTTTTCTGCCGTGCTGGCAGCAACGTGTCCTCCGAGCAAGATGCGGGGTTTCCAGTTGCACCCACCAGTATTTTAAAAAAACGCCGTTAAGTTTTTATCGCGTGAAATGCGTTTAATCTGCAGTCACTCCCGTACCCCCAGCAAGGGCGTCTTCAGCTGGGCCTTTCGCTCTGCAGCCGAAAATGGCTGGCGGGCCTCAGTCCTGCTGGTGCTAAAGGCGAGGAGAGTTTTCCTGTAGGTGGGAAGCATAAGGGAATGTGGTTCATGGGGCCGGGGGTGTCTCTATCACCAGATCCACTCTGGGTTTTTTTTTTTCCCCACTTGTTCTGTAAGTTGAAATCAGTTTGTTAGAGTCATTTGGTAACTGAGACATGCATATTAAATTTTTATTTGGGTCTGTAGCATACTTTTAAGCTGACCGTCCCTGCCTGAGGTGCTTTTGTTGACCTTGCAGAGCAGCCTTATGAGCAGGTTTCCTTGTGCAGGGAACTCAAGCAGAGAAGTGCTCCAGCACTGCTCTCCTGCTGCTCGGGGATGTCCAATCCACAGGGTTAGTACAAAGCAAAACCCCCTGGGGTGCCCTCGGTGTGGGGGTCAGGTCTTCATTTCCAAATGCTCTCCTTTGTGTGCTTCCTGTAGCCTCGACCACATAGCAGATGTAGATATCGCCAGAGAGCATCATAAAAGGTGCCGAGTTGTCTGTCCTGAAGGCAGAAATTTGCCTTCTAGACAGCACTGGGAATGGCAAGGAATGTTTTCCCTTGTTGCTGTGCTGTTCTTGAGTAGCCAGCTCACATGGTGGGGAGTATTCATGTCTCTGCATTCCTGAGTTTGGTACTAGGAATGCAAACAACTGCCATCCCCGAGCTGGCTTCCCCGAGTGGCTTTGTGCTGCCAATGTTTGTCCGCTGGGAACGGAGAGCCAGATGTGCTTCACATAGTTTCCAGGCAGCACTGATCCATCAGATGACAGTAGCTATTGAGTGCTCTTATGGTGGCCCAGAGACACAAAGATGAAAGCCTGATGCCTGTCATCACCTCCCTTGCCGTTCCTGTGTCCCCTCAGTTTTCACTTGAATCCTCTCACAAAAGCAAATGCCACCGAACACGATGTTGCAATGTTAATGACCTTTATTTTTGAGACAGAAAATCCCAAGTTTTATAATGTTGAACTGTCAGACAAATTTGGGATACGTTGAACTTCTTTGTCAAATGTTTTCCTGCCCATGCAGCTGTTTGGAGCCTCAGCTGGGAACACACCTTCCTCTTCAGAAGCATTTTCTACTGCATCTCCTGGATGAATTTTATGAGGGGAGAAGAGCAATAATTGAATGCCCTCTCAAACGAAGGTATCTTTGTGGAAGAAAAAAATCTGATGAACAGTCAAAGGGAAAACACTATAGAGACCTGGAATTATTTCCTAGAGTGGCTTGTGTTGTTTCCCAGCTGCTCTGCCTTGAAACAGGCTCTTACCCCCAACTCAGGGGCTCCACCAATTGTAAAAGCAAGAACTAACCAGTGCCAGATTCAAGTCTCAAAATACAAACCATTTTGGATACGGGGAGCAATGGGTGGGGTGCTGGTTCATGAGAAAACTTCTAAGCATTATTGTAGCATAAATAATATGGCATCTTTCACCTCAAATAGCCTAACACTTCATAAACTGATATGAGCTTCACTAGTTGCTGAAACACAGCTATTTCTGAAGTGGAACCTGATATCTTTTTTTTTTCTTTTTTTTTTTTTTTTTTTAAACTAGTAGAGAGCAATGTTTTAAGGTGGAGAGTAAAGGATACAATATACAACTAATCGTAAGTATAATCTAGGAGGGCTTTGCAAAATGGAAAGATCAACTAAAATCTGCTTTTAGTAATAACGTGCATTCTGGTGTATCATAAACTTGTGTGCTTAGTTTACAAATGCAATTCATTTATAAGAGATACAGGAAACTCAAATAACATTTTATCTTCTCTCTTCCAGTGATACTCTCTTACAGCTCTTTGGTAGCAGATGCTCTGGTTCCTTTCCTCTCTTCGTTTAGTTTAATGTCCAGGTCCCGGAGCTGGCTGAGGAACCCTGAATTTGGGCAGATGTCTCTGTGAGCACTCACTGTTTTCAGAGCATCCACCAGTGTCATGTTTTCATGGATCATTAAAAAGGCAAGCACTAAAGATGCAGAGCGGCTCACCCCCATGGCACAATGAACAAACACCTTGCCTGCGGAGAAGAAAGAGGCACAGGAAGGTGAGTGGGCTTTAGCATTTCTAAAGTGAGAAAGACACAGGGAGGATAAGAACTATTTGAAATAAGTTGAGAAAACAATGGTGACAATTAGCGGATACTCATGTTCTCAGGGAAGATTAGCATAAGATCATGCCATACATCTCAGGCAAGGTAGTATTTCATACTGACCTCATGCATCTAATTTAGGCCTCGGATTAAAATAGTTGAAATTTTCTGTGGAAGGAGAAGCTTTCTGTGACTAAACTTGTTAGTATAGTTTTCTGTGGAAAAAAGAAAAGTTTTGGCAGAAAATTTTGGCCAGGCCCTGACTGTGATCACTGACAACTCCCATAAACTCTGTAGGATAGTCTGCCTGTAAAAATGGACTCATAATTTACTGTATCTCAGCAGCCCAGTGTGAGTTATAACTGGGGATTTAATAAAGCACTCCAGTGAAAGCAGCAGATCTCGCAGCCAGTCAGAGTCGGAGCAAACTCTGGAACAAATGGAAATTATGATAACTAGGCCATAATCCAAACTCTGCTGACAAAAATTCAGCAGGCTGTGGGTCAGGCTCGCAGTTTTTGACTTAGTTCATTAACTTCTGCTGCTTCTCTAGCTTAATAGACAGTCTGAATAAAGCTCCAATTCTGTGAAGCACTTAAGCACGTGAAGCATTTAAGCCAGCACTGAAGTGCCGCTGCTCCCAGCTGAGTGCCCCGGGAGCGGGGCTGCGGCACGCGGGGCAGGCATGCCGGGCTGCAGCCCGTGCCGGGGTGCGAGGTGCGTGTGGAGGCGCACGGATCCTGCCAATTCCTGCAGCAGGCACCCGTGGGGGAGCACCCGCAGTGCCAAAACCTCTGCCCTTCCCTCTCGCTCTGCTCCTAGGGTTGGCCCTTCCTCCCACCGCACCGGGTTTGGGGCAGCCAGCCCTCCCTGGCTCCCGGGGCCCTGGCCACGGCCACCTTCCCTGCGGTGCGTGCCACAGGCGCCCTTCTCCCATCCTCAACGTGGTGGTTCTGCGTGTGCCTTCCCGAACCGTACGCTGGATCAGAGCTTTGCTGGCTGCCTGTTACTGCATGGAGAAGCCATTTGGCTCGTGTTGAAACTTCCTCCCATAGCTTCTCTTTGCCTCCCTCTTACCTCCTGAAGTGTTTAAAGCTTTGCCTATGAAATTGGCAGCATCGTAAAAGAAGATACTTAAATCAAAGGACGGATCATCAAATGCTTCTACTCCATAGTACTCTATTTGCAGATCTTCGTAATATTTGGCTCCTGTGTTGATGCTATATGGCCCATCTGCTGCATTAAGGATATGAGTAATGTTGAGGCTTTGAAGAGTAGTTTTGCTCCTAGCAGCCCACCTGTTGAAAGACATGAAGGGCTCATTGGCAACACTCCTAACATGCTGCTAAAATAGCATGGTTTAAAGTTAGTGCCTGCTCCCGCTAGGGAAGGATGCAGGAACTGCAGCTTGCTTACGGAGTATCACATTTCGAGAAGCCCATAGTGCTTTGCACATGAAAAATGTGATATGGTGGTGGGGAGAGCAGCAAGAACACAGACTTGCTGGTGTGATACTGTTAGTTAAGCAAATGCCTCCCAGCAGTTAATCCCTGGGAACATGGCTTACTGTAAAAAGTGGTCAAGATTTTCCTTTAAATGGTTGTTTACCAAGTTCTAGAGCCAATCTCTCATTCCTAGTGTGCAAGGGCAAGAACCCCCACAGATGGAGCAGCACTTCATTCCTGGTTCAGACATGAAGTGGCTGCATCATGCTCACCAGTGAGGTTCTCCCCCCTTCCCACCATAAACTGGGACTGAAGTTATTCCACAAAACTGTGATCCTTAACTGACGTATTCATGAGGAGGAGGAGTTGGGAAAAATAAGCTGATGATCTATGTAACCTGTAGTAATCCAAATAGAAGGAAACAGCAATAGATAGAGGTGGTCATAAGAATAAGGTATTTGCATGAAAATTCTTGTTTGATATTTTCAGTTTTACCATCTTTGAAAGAAAGTTTGGATTTGGACTGGCAAAATCCCTGTTGTATAATTCATTTGGGTTCTCCTCCGTCTGGCTCTTGATCCTGTTACTCCTATTTGAGTGGGAGAGCTACAGTGCTCTTGTCTGCTGCCTTAGAGCACAGTTTCCAGGGCAGATAGTACATTTCAGAGTTGACACCAATTTGGGATGGATTCTTTCAGGACTTTTGTCTAGAATACAAATAATTCTTACCCTGCCAAATCCACTGTGGTTCACAGAATGTAGAAAACCCCACTCAGACACACTATGAGTAGGTCACCATTTTGTATATCATGTTTTTCATTACATTCAAACTCCCTATGTTATCAGTTTTAGAAGCTTGTTTCGCAAAAACATTCCTGCTGACCCAAAAGCTGCTCCCCAATGTACTGCACCCCTTCCTCCTCCTCCCAGGAACTAGTAACAGCTTAATGATAGGACCATATGTTCTTACGCATCTCCCAGGTAAATATTTGGCCAGACTTGGTCCACATGATTATCAGACCCGCCTCTGAACCAAAAGAGCCGCTGGAGGTCTGATAGCGCTGGTGTTTCATAGGAAGCTCTGCTCCCTGCACTGCTAGTCGGAGGTGAAGAGTCTCTGGTGTGAGGCATCTCACTCCTCTCCTGCACGCACTCGGTCTGTATCAGAGACAGCTTTTCTGAAATGAATTAAGAGGAAACTTTCACACAGAAATAATATTCCCTAGAAAGTAGTCCTGTTCATTACTCTCCAAATAGCATCACATTATTATAACTAGTGTGTGCAGCAGGGCCTGCAGGTGTTGCTAAAAGCATCCAGAGAGCAGGACTGACTCTCTGGTAGGACTCTACAGGCATGTAATCCATCCCCTGAGAAAGCAGCAGCATAAAATGATATGATTTAATTTCTTGTCAAGTAACACTGTTGAAAAAGAACATCCCGTGCCACCCGAATCAGCACCAGCTGAACCTCATAGGTGCAGATATTATTTCTGTTACTATAGCGCTGATGAGCGTATGTAGGAAAGCTCCAGTACTTTATGTTGGAGGGTTACCAAATTGTTTGTGCACGCTTGATTCTGGTTAGTTAAAACTGGAAGTTTTTGAAAGAATGAATCATTGGACTGACTTACACTTACAAAGATTCTAGGGCCAAGGTGGACATCTTAGGATGTGTATGTAAGACATAGATTCATATAGTGCGTGTGTATACATATATAACATGCATGTATGTACAGTTTTCTTTCATTTATATGGATGTATTTAAACACATGTATACACATACATATACATACATGTATACATATGAATGGATTTTCACATGCAGATATACATTATATATGTGCCTGTATGTATATAAATAGAAATGGAGAGAATCTGAACTAGTTTTTTCTATCTCTCAGGTGAATATCCCTGAACACTCAGCTATACTGGTATACTTGAGTCTGTCTGTCACAGTCTCTCCTCTGGGAGCTGTTCCACTTTGTGTAAGTAATGTGATAGCTATTTGCCTCCAGGGGGAGGCTGTTTCTCTCATCTGAGGGGTAGGGTACTTACCTGGGATGTGAGAAAAAAAAGAGCAACTGAATTTGGGGAAATTATAGAGCTAAAAGTTCTGGCTTTGTGGCCCTGTTGAGAATCCCACCTAGGGCTGTTTTGTTCCCTCACAGATCATGCAGTGGAATATGGGCATCCCTTTTGCAATGTTGTTTGCTGGTTTAGACCCTGGAAGCTCAGGCCAGACAGTCCAGCCTGAAGCAGAGTTCAGTTGAGAGCGAGAGTTCAAAGATATCCAAGCAGTCCCTTCTCTGAGACTTTAGGAGCATTTCTCCTGCCAGGATCTCATTATCCTGAATTGCTGTTCTCGCCCCCAGAGAACACTGATGACCTTTGTTTGGTTGCTTGTTGGTATTAAATCCATAATGAACATGAGAGCCACACTAGAACTCTTCCCAAAGTGGGGTGGCTGGTGTTTATTCTGATGTGGCCTCAGCTTTCACTCGAATGCCTAAATCTAGAGTTTGTATTTATTTTCTCAGCAATTCTAGAAAACAAGTATGGATGGGACCTTAGGAAGCCATCTCTGTCCCCTGACCCACAGCAGCAACAGTGAGATGGATGTTGCTCCTACAGCAACAACAACAACTTTGTCCAAACATCCAGGTATGTTATTTTTAACAGTGTAGGCTGATTTAGGGAATAAGCAGAAAGCAAGGGAGGATATGTTTTTGCTTATGAATAAAGAAGTAGAGATGATGCAAAGCGTATTACTGAACACACCACATATATTTCTGTGACCTCAGCCTAAATTTGCTTCCCCTGCCCCCTTCTCCCTCCTCCTCCCCACAAATGTTAAGAGCAGTTATAGCTTTTTGTATGTTCTAATAAAAAGGAAGTCTCCCTAGGGTAACTACTTAATAAGCAAAATATGAAAAGCACAATAAAAATGATGGGAGAGATGGAAAAAAAGCTGACTGGTTTTACTTTTAATGATGAAGGAAAAGAACTGCAGGGAAGTAGAGAGGAATATAGGGATAAAAGGCTACAAATTTTTCAGGGCAGATAATGTAACACCAGGAGCTTTGATAAAGGAGTATGTTGTGCAATCCTAGCACAGATTAGCATGAAGAATAGCACAGAAAAAGATACTGTGCATTGCCCTACAAGTTTTACTGCCTTGAGAAAGTCATGCACTGTGCTCAAGAGCTACTGCCAGCATTGTCATGATGACCTGTTTGTACTTTCACCGACACAGAACGTTAAGCTGAAGCAGTAAAAGGAAATCAAGAAAAAGATAATACAGCTTCTACATCAGGAGATTCATAAGACCACAGGCTCATTTTCAAGGAGTGTGTCTGATTCTCAATTGCTGCAGATGTTTAAAGGCTGAAGTCGTGGAGGTAAGCAGATGGATACTAAACTTTCAGTTCTCCTAGCTCCCACTGCTTTAAATTTCTGCTGTAGCCTGTCAGCTAGTTACAGTAATGGAGATGATTAGCAGAGAGAATTACACTGCAAGCCCTCTTGTTCAAGACCTGACTTTGAGGAGGTTCTCCAAGAATTGAGCTGTTTTGGTGATGGTGAAATTTAGCAGGCAACTCCAGCCTTTGCAGCCAGGGAGGTGCTTTGCAACAGAGCTCCCTTTCATAGAGCAATGCTCTTTCCAAAAAGTGCGTCAACATCGTTTGCTTCACATGACTAACGCCAGACAAGTGAGCTTCTCGTGTCAACACGAAGCATAGCTCCTCCCAAGCACACCGCTCCGGCCGCGCTGTGCTGGCCTTGAAATTGAATTGCTCTGCAGGGCCTTCAGGGTAAGCTTGGAAATAGCTCTACCAGATGATTGGACTAATGAGGAAAGTAATATGAATTTTTTAATTGAGGGCCAGGGACTTTGCTGAGGGTTCTACCACCCCCACACCCCCCCACACCCCCCCCCCCCCCGCCTTCTACTTTAAGATACTGCAAAGCTAGCAAAAGTGCTGCCACTGATTACATTTCTCTAAGCTTCTCCCTCAGGGTGGCTCCCAGAAGCTGCTCTAGATGGAAACAGCCAGTGAGTGCAGGAGGGCAGGAGCCCCTGTAACTGGGAAAATAAATTTTCTGTCTTAGAAGGTCACTAACGTTTTCTGCAGAGATCTAGACCATGCAAGTTGGATAGGGTTACTTAGATTCTTTCTATCTTTCTTTCTCCTCTTCCCCCCCCCCCCCCCCCCCCCCCCGTTAAAATCAAAACAACAGCAACAAAAAAAAGCTTTCTACCTGTAGGAGACATCTGAGACTGGATAGAGATTTTAAAGGCAATCCAGATGTGTTAGCCTCCTTGCTTCCCCAGGAGGATAGAAGGTAGCACAAGATTTAAAACTGTTTTGTGATTATCCATCAGTTCCCGGACACCCAGAGTATTGGGGCGCACTCCAAATGGCTGGGACCTGCTTGGCTCTGTGTCTGAGCTGTGGAGCCTGAGTCACAGAGGCCTGAATTTCCCTGGGGGGCACGAGAGCCATGGTAGAGGCACAGGCTGTGGGGTGGGCGTTGTGGGGCTGCAGGGAGCGCCCAGGAAAGGCTGTGGGTGACTCCGCACCCTGCTTGTGTGCAGCTCCCGAGGGAACCCATCATTCCAGGACCTTGTCTACAACAACCTCGCTGAACTTTGTATCTCCCTGATACTATCCGGCCACTTGAGTACTATGGTCTGCAAGGCTTTTTTTTTGGTTTGGTCATGTTTTTTTTTTTTTCCTACACTGAAAACAATTGCTGGTTTCTACTGAAGAATCTTCTGTCAATGAAAAGAGAAAAAATGCACAATCCCCACTGACTTGAATTGGCTAAAGCATTTAACAGATTTGTGTTGCGTTTGCAGACTCCAGCCAAAGAAAACTTAGCAAAGTTCTGGAAAAAAAATGCAAACACTCCAATATTGTAGATTTGAAATAGTTAATATTGTTATTTTCAAAAAAAAAATTAACATTTACATTTACTTTTGCTTTGTAATTTTACTTTAGCATTGCATAAAAACTTTTGAACTATTAAAACAAAATGAAGTGGCTTGTTCCTTGTTGAGGAAAACATGTTTTGTTTAACTAAAAATGAGCACTAACTGAGCAGCCACTTACTTACCTAGCCCTCATTTCCACTTCTGCAACAGGAGGAAAGCCTCTTGCCATTTTGCCATAGTAGTTACCTTGTCTCCTAAAGACCAGACTGAGCTGTAGAGAGATTAAATGACTGTCTGAAGTCCCAAGAGGAGACTGAGGCAAGGCATTAGTTGGGCCCCAAGTCATCTTTCCTCTAACCCTTTTGCTAGCGCGCTCCTAGCTGGCACAGCTCTGCTTGTGATTATGATGGTAGCCCACAGGTGTCTTTCAATAACAAGGTCTTACATGAGATTATTGATAGCCTTGGGCACAGCAGGGCACTGATTTTGCCTGGACCTGTGGTTACTACAATAATGCAAACACTAGATAACAATAACATGATACAAAAAACTCCTGCAGCCAAATATCCTAAATTCCTTAAATCAAAACCTAACAAACTAAATGGTTCAAAATACCAAAGCATGAGATCAGAATATAATTCATGTGAACAACAACAAAAAAATAAAAGAAGCCTCTTGTGATGCATTTGAAATTGCTCTCTACTCTGTTTTTTCTTCTATTTTCTCTCAGCAAGCATCTCTGCACTCATCTTTTACACTCCTTGCTCTTTTCTCTCAGGTAGTGCTTAACACTGTGGCTCTTTGTCCTCCTGATGGAAAAATCCAGATGGAAAGGAGTGTGGTTCACAGAGAAATGGTCATGTAAGTGGAATTAATCTTTCAGATACTGTAATGTGAAATCTGATCTTCCTTTTTGTTAAGAAGACCCAATCTGTGTCTCTACATTTTGGCCAGAATCTGACGCTAAGAGAACCCTGGAGTCTCTTGAGGTAGAGCTGAAAGCGTCGTGTGCAGAAACAGGCACATTTAAAAGCAATAGCAAAGTTAAAACAGCCAGATGGGAACCTAGCAGGCAACCGAGAGGGGAACTCTCTGTTTTCCTTGCAAACCTACAGGGGCTTGTTTGCAGGAATTAGAATCTCTCACCAGCAGTTCACTGCAGCTCTAATACCAAGTGGTATTGAAAATGAGAAGCAGGTTATGGCTGATGGTTTAAATGAGGCACCTATGGGAATTTAGAAA